ATCCCTTGTATGTAACTTTCTGTCTCTCTCTTGCAGCCTGTAAGATTCTTTCTTTGTCCTGAACGTTTGCCATCATAATTATGCTGAGTCTTGGTGGGGGCCTTTTTGGGTTCATCTTGTTTGGGATTCTCTGGGCTTGTGTGACATTTTCTTCCCCAAATCAGGGACGTTTTCTGACATTATTTCTTCAAATAGGTTTTCTAAACCTTGTTCCTTTTCCTGTCATTCTGGCACCCCTATTATTCATATGTTGCTTCATTTCATGTTGTCCCAAAGCTCCCCTAGGTTCTTCTCCTGTGTTTTAATATTTTTCTCCAACTGCAGTTCAGTTTGGATGTGTTTTGCTTCCCTGTCTTCTAATTTGCTAATTTGGTCCTCCACTGGAGAAAATATTCTTGCAGCATTTGAAAACTATTATCCAGGAGCCCATGTCACTGACAAATAAGAGAAGTTCTGACATATGTCTTCATTGTCTCATTTTCATTTCACTTGTTAATGTGAATAAAAGTATCGACCAACTTTTATGTCAGAACTACACTCATTAATTGCAGCCACAAATTGTCTATACATATTAGCTAGGCAACAATCTTTGGAAAGTCATTGACTATTTGAAATTTATAAGAAAGAGTATTGTATATTTTATTAGTATTTGTAAATTATGTGCTATACAATGTTTATATTAAAAAAATTTATAATGAACGAAGACATATATGCAAACTGTTCCCCCCCCCCCCATCCTCAGAGAGCTGGCTGTTCAATATTTAACAGTATGTCACAGGTAATCAAGCATGGCATAGTGTAAAAAAAATATTGTTTTTCTTTTTAAGTATAACTTAGATTGTACTCTTTCTGAGAGTTAATGCTTGTCTTGAGATAAATGCATGTGTGTCTGATTCAATGTTAGCTGCCACATGACCAGGAAAAATCTTCACTCTTCATCTCACACAAACTTGGAAAGATCCGGTCTATTCTGGACTCGTCTGCAGACGCCTCCCTCCACTTCCCACCAGATGGTAGTATTAGTGAACCTAAATGACTCCTGTTTGGGAACATGTACATTAGGAATTACTGTACTAGCAGAGTGAAAGGTATTGGAGACTGTGGAGGTTTGAAGAAAATGAATTTCCTGAAAGTGACATGAGCACAGGAAACAAAGCCAGGAATGGGTGTGTCCATCATAGCTCTCAGCCACACAGCAGTGACTATTTCCCCTCAAGGTCTCCCAACCCAAACCACAAGTAAAATCAGAATCCTCTTCTCCGCAGAGTTTGGGGGTCCGGAACTGGGCAAACAGCTTACCGTTTACCTCACATCATCATTTTCAGGAAATAAAATCTCTGAGGACTGAACTTGGAGTGGTAACAGAGAGGATGGTTGCTTCACTTCTTCTAAAGTCACATCCTATCTAGTGGACCTAGGCCAGGAGTTTCAGGAACAAGGACAAGAGGTGCTCACAACTGGTTCAGAACAGATAGGAAAACCACACTTTCCCCAGTGTATATTGCAATGGGTGAAATGGGGAGGGTTTGTAAAGAGGTCTATTGAGAAGTTGAAAGGAGCCTGATGCTAGAAGTTTGCATAGAAGGTTGTAGAGAAGCCGAAAAGGGAAATTTAGATGAAGCAGAGAAAGGGAAGGTCAGCTAAAAAATGCAGCTGTAAATTTTATATTAAGATCAACCCCTGGCATGGTTCAGGGGTTGAGTGTCGACCTATGAACCAGGAGGTCACGGTTTGATTCCTGGACAAGGCACATGTCTGGGTTGCGGGCTCGATCCTCATTGTGAGGCATGCAGGAGCAGCTGATCAATTATTCTCTCTCATCATTGATGTTTCTATCTCTCTCTCCCTTCCTCTCTGAAATCAATAAATGTTATTTAAAAAAAAAAAAGATCAGCTGTGGCTATGAGGTGAAAGGAGAACCTAGATCAGTCATGTGAACATGGCCACTCCTATGTTGGAGGGCCACCGTCCCCAGGCCTGGAGAGAACACTTGCTTCCCTGGAAGGAAATGAGTTTCAGGAGGTAGACACCCTTTGGAGACAGGATAAGAACATTGTGGGAAGGGGGAGGGTAGAAGTTCAGGAGTGAATAGGTTCAAAACAACTTAGGAGAGAAGACAAAGTACTCCAGGGGCTGATGACAGTCAACAACTTTCTTCTTGTAGCACTTTCTTTCCTTGGCTTTCAAGACCTGCCCTCCTGATCCTCTATTAGCTTCTCCCCAATCCACCCAGGGATGATGAGTGGAACTTGAGTGGCTGATAATGAAATAAATCCTTGAAAGAAAAGCAGAAATGGCTAGCTAAAACCTCTACTATACAGTGTGGGGCAAAATTAGTAGCTTTACAGTTGTTTATATGGAAAAATAATACAGTAATTAATAAATAATAATACAAGAATAACCTATGTGTTTCACATATCTATACTAATAATAGCCTAGGTGGTGTCATGCCCTCGCGTGTAACAATGTCTCATGGTGGCCGCCACAGATGGCCACCACAAGATGGCTACGTGCACAGCAGAGGCGGGGCCTGATGGCTGCTCCACACAGTAAGGCCTGGGGGTCCCGCAGCTCTGTGTGGCACTGAGGAGGCGGGTCCTGGCGGAGTAGGCAGGTTGTAGCAGGGGAGGGCAGTTGTGGGCGATCAGGCGGGCAGGGGAGGGCAGTTGTGAGTGATCAGGATGACTTGGAAGGAAAGGTGGGGGCCATCAGGTCAGCAGGGGAGGGCAGTTGGGGACAATCAGGCAGGGGAGCGGTTAGGGGGCAATCAGGCTGGCAGGCAGAAGTGGTTAGGGGCAATCAAGCAGGCAGGCAGGCAGGCAGGTGAGCGGTTAGGAGTCAGACGTCCTGGATTGTGAGGTCCCTGAGTGATCCGGCCTAAACAGGCAGTTGTACATCCGCCAAGAGGTCCCCAGATTAGAGAGGGTACAGGCTGGGTTGAGGGACCCCCACCTCCATGAACAAATTTCATGCACCCGGCCTCTAGTTACTATATAACTATGGGTGTTTGCCTCACCCATAAATAAAGGGTTTCAGTTTCACTGATATATTCCTTGAAAATGATGATATGAGGAAAAAGAGAAACTCTTGCCCAGTTCTGGATCCCCAAACTCTGGGAAGAAAAGGATGTTGATTTTACTTGTGGTTTGGGGTGGGACGCCTTGTGGGGAAACAGTCACTGCTGTGAGGCTGAGGCTATGACTGGCCCTTCTGTGTCCTCCCCATTTCCTTGGCTGTGGACCAAGCTGCTTTGAACTGGTTGATGAGCACCACCTGCAGGTAGAAAACTGGAGAAAATATCTGAATACAGTTCACATTATTATAGATCAGAACAAATGCCCAGTGAACTCTCTTTGGCCCATCCCTGAAATGTAGTTTCTTTTTTATTAAGGGACAATATGTCAGGTCCAGTCCTGCAGGAGGAAGCAGGCCTAATTTTGGCAGAATCTGAGAGACGTCACTACCTCCTTCACAGAAGAAACTGAATCCACCAGGGAAGGACTTCCATACCTTCCATCAACAGCCATTCAGAATTCCCCACTTCTCTACTCCATCTCCACCTGTTCCTGGTGCATGGGAAAAGTGGCCCCTTCCTCAGGTTACTACTGCCTCCAGGATTCCACCCCATCTTCTCCCACAACCTTTATCTTCAACCTTCCTTCACTTCTTTCTACCAATATTTAAACATGCCTAAGACTCTTCCATGTTAAAAAGATTTTAAAAACCAGAAAACAAACATAACAACAACTGCCTGATCTTATAACCCCTTCAACTATTTTCATCTCATGGCACACATAAACCAATTACTAAAATTCTGTGGCACACAAATAAAATATTATATTTTTTGCCAATCTGACAAAAAAAATAGGTATAGTTTTGATTCATTCACACCAGACGGCTATTGTTGTGTTGGCTGTTGTCATATTTTTATTTGACAATCTAAGGGAAGAGAGGTTGATGTCCCTGACTAAATAGTCAGATATTGCATGTTTTAAAAATTCTTGTGCACACCGGTTGCTCACGCCATCTGTCATCGTGAGCATCTTCTCTCACTGCCCTAATCCTTCATCCAGTCCTGCAGCTGTGCCTTCAGTATGGATTTGGAATCCTATCTTTTCTCAGAAGGTCCTCCTCTGCCAGCACCCTGGTCTCAGCCACTCCCATCTCTCACCTTGGACAACACAGTAGTCGCTTAGAGGTCTCCCTGCCTCTTCTCTAGCTGCCACACAACAGCCAGTGGTTCTGTACACTTACAGCACAATGGCATGCCCTCTTCTCACACCTCCAAGGTTATCCCTGTCATCCTTAGGCCTCAGGTTACAACTCCCCTCCCATAAGCCCTTCCTGAGCTCTTCCTAATTTGTTCCATTCTGTGAACACCTCTGTATTCCTTCCAAGAGAACTCAATCGGCTGTGTCCTAACTCCTCTGTCCCACAGCTTCCTGAGCTCAGAGAGGGCAGGAACTTCTGTTAAATCCATCCCAAGAGCATGGCACCTTGTAAATATTATGTAAAAAACCTGTGAATGTACTGTCCTCCCTTCCCACCCCCCGTTTCTAGACAAACAATATTATCAGATCCAGGAACAAACTGCAAAGGAAGGAAAAGGAGGTAAAATTCTCACAGCTCATTAATTGTTGGAAGAAGTTCCCAAATGGACCCCAGATGTTCTAAAGATCCACAGTTTGATGAGCCATTTTGCTTCCTTGTCAAATGTCATTGAGGCAAAAAATAAAGCTGCAGGAAATCTTGTGACACAAAGCTGCTGATTGCCCTTGTGGCTTGTGTGTGTGGCAGATGAGCCCTGGGTTTAGGGACCGTGTTCATCCAAATACCTGGATGGCCTTGCCCTGGGGCCCAGATGAAAGTGAAAATTCTGAGGGGGGTCACTCATCAAATCTGAGGTTGCTGTTTACAGCCAAAGGCAGTTACCTAAGAGCAGGGAGGAGTTCCCTCCCTGACCCCCAAACGAAAGCGAAAGAGGCAAAGTTAACTAACTGCTTGAGCTGGGGTAGGACTAGCAGTCTCGCCCTGAACAGGGCTGAGGATGGCTGCGCCTGGCTACTTCCCGCTGCTGGTCGAGGGGTCCTGGGGTCCCGATCCCCCGAAGAGCTTGATCACCAAGCTGCAGTTGTACTTCCAGAGCCGGAAGAGATCGGGAGGCGGGGAGTGTGTGGTCCGACAGGAACCAGGCAGCCCGGCCCGCTTCCTAGTGCTCTTCCACCCGCTTGACGGTGAGGGGCGCCGGGGCGGGGGTGAGAGGAGACCATGGGCTCTCCCTGTGGGGACACTTGGACTGGGGCGCGCAGAGGGACCCGCTCCAGCAGCAGCAGTTGGCGGTGGGCGGGTTGCAGAATGGACCAGAAATGCGCGGGGTCGCTGCGTTCCTCTACCCCGCCCTTCTAGGAACTCAGAGGTGCTGCCTCTGCCAGGAGGTGGCGGGTGGGGGCAGAACCGCGCCAGGGAGAACAGAAAGGCGCTGAGAGCCTGGGTACTCGCCTCATTTTACAAGGCTAATTGTGCATTAATGTATTAATACACAGAGTGCTAATGGCAGAGTTGCATCTCTTGCGCTTTTGGACTTTGCCAATTGAGGCAGCAGTTCTAGAACTCTCAAGGTTTATTGAGGCAGCTTCTAGAACTCTCAAGGTTTATGGGAGCACGATTTTAAGGGAAGAGAAAGTTTCCAGGGATAAAAGTCCAAATATACGTTAGGGAGATAAATTTGGTTGAAAATAGGCACATTTGTTTCTGTTGGGAGAGACCATGAAAATCAGACCTTTGAAGAGATCCGTGCAGTTATTCTGAGTGAGGACAAGTGAGTCCTTAAACAATGAAAGTCATTGTGGGGCTGGAAGAGACATATTTGTGTGCTGTTGTGGATTTGGTAACTGATTCTATGGGAATGGGCAGTGCTCCATTTGAGAGGGCGGAAGAGGAAGAGCCCTTCTTCCTTCTGTTAATTTTTAGGGGGGAGTGGGAAGGGTCTAAGCCAGTGGTCGGCAAACTCATTAGTCAACAGAGCCAAATATCAACAGTACAACGATTGAAATTTCTTTTGAGCGCCACATTTTTTAAACTATATGGGTAGGTACATTGTTATTAACTTAATTAGGGTACTCCTAAGCTGGCTTTTGCTAAAAACGTCCTCAATCTGATCGAGGTATGTTCGCTGAGGTCGACCCCTTCCAACTCTCCCATCCACACTCATCTTTTATCTAATGAAAAAAGTATACAAGGCGAGTGTGGGTGGGAGAGTTGGAAGGGGTCGACCTCAGCAAACATACCTCAATCAGATTGAACTCTTTAAAAGGTGGCTTCTAGGTTTTCATTTATGCAACTAGCACTAACCACTGCAAACGAGACTGCTGACTGCCTGGCTCACTCACCTCCTGCATGAATTTCACGCCTCCCCCACGCTATGTATCCGGTGCCCCGCCAGCGCTGCCAGCGCTGAGTCTCCCATCACCCTTCTGACTGACACCCCCCACTTCTTCTAACTCCACTTCTTCAAAATAGACTCGCCCAGGCCAAAAACCAACTTCTGCGCATGGGCCACAAAGTTTCAATCTCACTGAACGTTCGCGCCTGCACGTGGTATTTTGTGGAAGAGCCACACTCAAGGGGCCAAAGAGCTGCATGTGGCTTGCGAGCCTGTGGTTTGCTGACCACTGGGCTAAGCAATGGGAGATTTCCCCATGGGTCATGGAGCTTCTCAGTGCTTCTGGGGTCACCTGGGGAGTGGCAGAGACCTGCTTAAAATCACATTGCCTGGGTGAAATAGAGTTATTGCAGGGAGATGAAAGCTTGCTCCTGATCACCACTGTCTTTGTTGGTTCGCTGGTACCTGTCCCTTGGTTTCAGGCTGGTCCTCAGACTGGGTTGAAGGAGGTTGAGAGTTTTGAGCTTTTGAGGGGGAAGTTCCTCCCTCACTGGCAATTGAGCAGCTGAGTTCTCTCCTCCCGCTTGCTTTTGCTGTTGAAGAAAAGGGAGGCCCTGGCTAGTGGGTTCAGTGGTTAGAGCATTGGCCAGTGCACTGAAGGGTTGCAGGTTCAATCCCGTGCTGATGTGTCTCTCTCACATCGAAGTTTTGTTCTCTCTCTCTCTCTCTCTCTCTCTCTCTCTCTCTCTCTCCCTCTCTCCCTCCTTTCCACTCTCTAAAAATCAATGGAATAAATACCTTCTGGTGAGGATTAACAACAATAACAACAACAACAAAAAAACCACACAAAAAAAGAAAGGGGGAGGACGAATATCAAACATCTGCTTGCTTAAGACAGTCACCAGGTCATTTAGGGGGAAGCATGTGACCAGACACTCCCGGAGCACACACTTTTCCCATTGGAATCTCACAGGAGAGGATGTGAACAACTCCTAATCCCACTTTCCTTCCCTGGATTTGAGAAGCGTTTGGGCCAGAGGAGAGGCAAGGAGGCTTACAAGGCCATGAGAGCAATTGGAAAGCTTTAAGCAAGGATCCAGGATGGAAAGATTTAACCCAGAGAGGAAAGGGTACACAGAGGAGTGTGAAAGAAGTGAGGCGGGCAGGGGGCAGGAGACAGGAGACCTGCTGGTCCCAGAGCTTTATGGAAACAGGTACACAGTTTTCCAAGGATTAATTTCACCAAGGAATGCACAGAAGGTCAGCTGTATGATATAAGTCATTTTCTCAAGGAATGTTACCACTTTGATTCCAACTGTTAGCATCACCAAGATTCTGGCACTTGGCAACGATTCTTTCTTCTTTAGCATCTCATTAACCCTCAGCAGCTTAAACAGACACAGCCCAGCTCTGTCCTAGAGACTCAGGAACCCTGAGTGTGGGTGGGTGAGGGCATCAGCACTTTGAACAAGCACCTTCGGTGACTCTGAGGCACTAAAGTTTGAGAATGCTGGTTGTTGATGTCCCTGGATGAACAAAATGGGAGACCATTATAGGAAATACACACAGCATAGAAATACAACCAGTGCAAAATATGATTCTGTGATGATATCATCATTCTGTTCTAGCCCTCAAATTAGAGCCTATTTCAGTCTCCTGCCAGGATTCTTCCTTCACCTGTTCTAGCCCACGACCCCTTACCTCCACCCCCAGGCTGCTCCTATGGCCCCTTTGTGTAACCCCCAGCACAGACATCTCATAATCCCTGCAACTGATGACCTTTTATGGTCAAAGATCCTGGGGAATGGAAAGTCCCAGTCAGTTTCGGTTTCCTATCAGAAGCAGCTTTCTCAGCCTCAAGTTGCCAGGCAATTTGCTAACAATGAATAACCAGCCCTGGCAGTCCTAGGGCAGGAAATCTTGTCTTTACAGGGAGACCCATCCCCTCCACACCAGGAAGTGGCCTCAGCAGGTGCAGTCTTGTCGTGAAACATGCCTTTAGTGATAGAACTCACATAATCAGGCTGAGCCCACCAGCATTTCTCTGTGGAAATTACTGTAGAACAACCTGAACTATTGAGAAGCTGCATCTTACTTTTATATAGTTCATTGAATTTCTGAAAAGTTGAGTGTAAATTGATTCGGAGAATTTTTGGATGTGATCATCCTCTCTGGTCATAATTTGGCTCCTGATTATTGTCAGTCTCTTTGGGGTAAGGAAACCCATTAATAAAAGTAAGTGTGGATGGTTTGAGATTAGTGCAGAAAGGACATAGGTCAGGGTGGCTGGACATCAGAGATTCAGCCTCATTCCTCCAAGATTCAGGTTTTCCTTGTTGGGGCGCACTTACTGATCTTGCCACCCTCTGTCCTCTTGAAGTAGTGATGCCCATGCATATTGCACACAGAACAGGATGGCACATTTATTTATTTTTAAATTATTTTTAATTGATTTCATAGAGGAAAGGAGGGAGAGAAAGAAATATTAATGATGAGGGAGAATCATTAAAGAAATATATGATGAGGGAGAATCATTGTTTGGCTGCCTCTTGCATGCCTCCTATGTGGGATAGAGACCAAAGCCCAGTCATGTGCCCTGACCGGGAATCAAACTGTGACCTCTTGGTTCATAGGTCAAAGCTCAACCACTGAGCACACCAGCCGAGCCAGGCTGACATTTTTATTTTATAATTTAATTGGTTTAGTTTATTCTCACCCAAGGATATTTTTTCCATTAATTGGAAGGTATAGGGGGAAAAGGGAGAGAGAGAGAAAAAGAAACACTGATGTGAGAGAGACACATCAATTGGTTTCCTTCTGCACTCGCCCTGATTGGGACCAGGGGATGGAACCTGAAACCCAGGTATGTGCCCTTGACCAAGAATCAAACTCCTGGCCCTTACATGGGAGGGTTGACACTCTTACCATTGAGCAACACAGGCCAGGGCCAGGCTGGCACATTTAAATGTGTGGCCCTAGCCAGTCACAGGTTTCATCGATTCCCGTCAAGGGCACATGCCCAGGTTTCGAGCTCCATCCACATTAGGAAGCATGCAGTAGGTAGCCGATCAATGATTCTCTCTTATCATTGATGTTTCTATCTTTCTCTGTCCCTCTCCCTTCGTCTCTGATATCAATAAAAAATAAAAAAAACCCAAATGTCTGGACAGGACTCTACCAAAGTCTAAGGAATAATAAAAGGGAGGTATCACAGAAGTCCATGGACAGCCTGACGTACAAAACTTAGCTTCCTCTCTGGCACCGGGTTCTTATGCATCCCTTACTCAATCTTAGGGCAGCCCCTTAGGAGTCTCTGTGAAGACATCTTTCCTCCCATCAAGAGTGAAATTTGAGTCTTATATTATTTCTGGGGGTCTGTTTCATTCTATTGGCATCCTACCCTTCCATGGATGGTTGAGGTGGGAAAGCTATTTAAGCTACTCTTTTTGAAAGATTCCTATCTGTATCCTTGGCCTCATCAGGCCAACCATATCAGAATGCAACATGGTAACCCAACATTCATGGCAGGGCTACAACAGTGAACAGCAGGGAACTCTCAAAGTTTCCCCTTCAGCCCAACGTTTTTGTACCATCTGACTATGTCGACCACATCTCCTCATCGAAACTCACTCCCTGTGTGCCATAGTCTGTGATACACCAACTTTGCCTTTCTTTCTCTGCCTGCCTCTTATAATTCTAACTTACATTTGCATACCTCCTGTGTGTGTTACAAAATTCATTCACAGACCACTGGTTTGAATGAGAAAACAGATTTAAGAGACGTGAAGATAGTTTCTCAATGTCACTCATCTAGAGTGGGAATTTTAATCCAGGTTTTTTGAATGCTTATGTTCACTGTTCAGTCTTTTTCATTACAGCCCAGCTGCCTGATGTGTGATTTTGTTTTTAAATCTCTCCATCCATTTTTTCCTTTTCCTTTTACTATCAGATGGGAGGCTTTTATCTTCACAAGTTAACAGCATTGATTGAAAAACTTTTTAACTAGGCTCCTGGCCATTCTGCTCCTGGTTACCCGAGTCACCTTCCTAAAACATGGCTTTTATCATGCCATGTCCCAGCACCCAATGTTCGCGAGCTCACTGTGATGGATGCTTTAATTATTTCATTTACTGTACAATAAATATTTTTCCCTTTCTGAGTGCCCACTGAGCATCCGGTACTATACTACATTCTTTATGCTTCTTCAGTTGAATCCACATAACACCCATATAATACAATCTTTATTAATTGCTTATTATGCAAGAAGACTGAGGCTCTGGAAATACTTAAGGTTAAAAAAATAAGTTTAAAGATAGAATTCATATCCATGTCTGCTTGATAAACTTTTCCTTTTTTTTTTCCCACGTAAGGTCTCTCTTGGGGAAATAACTGAGTAATTGATTGATGATGACAAAGGCTTTGGAAATAGGAATAATTTTGTGAATAAAGATTGCTTGATGGTTCTCCTTCTTCTTCTTCTTTTTTGATGTTTCAGTTCGGCAGAACGTTCTGGAGAGAGGGAACCATGAGTTAGTATGTCCAGGAAAAGAAACATTTAAGTTAACGGTCAAGTTGCCTCCAGCCACAAATGAAGTTCATGGTGCCTCTAAGGAGAAAATTCCAGCAACGGTAAGTAAAGGAGCGAGTAGCCAGGAAATAGGGTGTTCTCCCAAGGTGTGTGGGATGGGAAGCACAATGAGAAATACCAAGTGAAACAAAAAATATAAATCAC